AAAAAGTACTCCAGAGTGTTGTTCAGCATGGGGGTGAGTAGAAAATGAAGGCTAATCATGTTTTGGGTGTACTATTCCTTTAACACAAAAGCCCATTTAAACAAGGTAGAAGGAATATGTTTAAGAGGGCGTCACAAAGAGTATTAACTGTTTGGAATTGATGTCAATGTTTATAAACTACCCTTGCCATCCATTTCCAAGTATTGTTGATAATATTAAGATAAAGGGGACACAGGATAAAGGTAATGATCATCCAAGCAATAGACTTACACCTCCCTAGTCTGCTTTGCACCTCTGAGGCTACATTCACACTGCAGGCCTGAACGCTCAATTCAGATTTTTTTGGTGAAAGCCAATTATTCTGCGTGTTCCATGCCACTTGTACAATTTAGAGTTCCTGTTCCTGGCTTTCTGATAACACCCAAGCCCGCTTTTGCCTTAGGCTGCTGCCTCAGACCACAGTTGCTGAATTCCCTGACATGGTTGTCCAAGTGGACCCGTCTTATATTTATGCAATTTAGGTGCTACAAGCACCCAGTATCCAAGTTGGCATTGCCTCTTGGCCCTACTTTAGTTTTTCTATGTGTTCCTGCTCCTGAAGGGTTCTAGAGCAAACCACCTTACTTCCAGTTACTGAGGGTTGCAAGAATGAAGTGCCTTAACTTACTGCACATACTCCGAGGTTTCAATTATTTTTTCCCTGAGCTCTTTTGTAAGTACCAGTCTGAGGTCACTTGGGGGGTCCCGGCCTCTCCAGGGTTCAAAGACTCCAAATCTTACTCACGAGCGTAGCCAGCAAACCAATGTTTCCTTTAAGGGTCCTGCATGGCCACCACATGTCTTTCAAATCTTGACCTCTTTGGTATGACCAAGGACCAGCCACTTTTAAAAGTCCCCTCCGCCGATTCTGTTCAGGTTGTTTTTTGTTTTGGGCTCTGTTTGGGCATCTGGTATCTACCCCTAGGGGAGGGGTACTACCACAATCAGTAGACAAATAGTTCTTTTCTAAAACAGAGGACGGGGGTAATGATACTCACAGGAGGAGTGACCCAATGTTTTTCAGTTGTAAGTATATTAAAAAGCTGACATTAAAACAACAGAAATGAATGAATTATTCAAATCGATAAGCTATCATTGCATAAAAGAAAAATAGAACTCTTGCTACATTCAGAAGATCATATGGTGCTTTATGGGGATGAAGGGAAATGTATTGGTCTGCAGTGATCTAGGAGACTTCAATGAAATTAGAGACAGAGTACTACTGCTTAACCCTTTCAATCTGAATATTATATAAAACTATAACTGATTTAGACAATATAGACGTATAACGGTGTGGAAAGATTTACTAGAAAGGCCTTCTAGTCTGCTTTCATAGGGGGCCCTGTTAGGCCCCCCTATGAAAACTTTCAGGCTCTCCCCCTGCCCCTCTACTCTCTAAAAATGTGCTAGAGGAGCAAATGAAAGCCAGATCCTCCAGCATCCTTATGTTGCATTAGCAAGTCAAACACCTGCCCAATTCCTAAACTTAAAAACTTGTGCGCTTTGAAGTCAGACGTGCATTAAGAGTTTCAACAAGTGTAGGTAGATGCATTTGATGCACATTTGGAGGAACTGCCTCATTCTTGGATGGAGGGACTGCCTCCCAGCCAGTTTCTCTAATGGTCTGTCAGTTGTGCCACAGGTCCCATTTCTAGCCCTAGCATTTGCCACCTGGACATACTGAATGTTAATCAGCTGCTTACAAGCTCAAAGTAGGGTGTGCTATGCAGCACATTCCAAATTATGTGACTACCATTGACTTTTAAAGAAAGTCAGACATGCCTGATGGTCAAAATGACAGAGGCTTAAATTAAGGCTTATCTTAAAAATAGCCCGGGTCTTAAGTTGGAGGAGTTGCAGGGGTGCCAGCAGAACCATGTCATGACTGGGAGTGGAGGCCTAGTGGTTAGGGCATTGCACTTGGAATCCGACTTCAAGCCCCACTCCCACAGATTGCCACTCTGGGTCCCTGAGCAAGACTCTTAACCCTACACTGCTCCCTGGGTGCCAGAAAATGGCAGCCCACTGGGTTAAATACTTGTTCATGCCGTTGCTCTGTACTTGCGACAGTGTAATGACAATAAAAAGCTGGAAAAAAAGTAAATGCAGGGAAACCAAGGGAGCTGGTGTTGGACTTTTTTTGGTGGATTTCTCTCTGAAACATTATGCTTACAAAGTGTACCTTGGTTAATTTAGTAAGTTCTGTTTTTAATGCATCAAATTAATAATTGAAGTTTAATTAATCTACCATTTCTTTAGAAATTGTAAGAAAAAATTATTTCAGAGTTTGTGAATTTATATGAATAATTGTTTTATAAATATTCCAACAGGAAAAGAGGAGCAACATCTTCGGATTGTACTTGTTGGAAAAACTGGAGTTGGGAAGAGTGCAACAGGAAACACTCTCTTAGGAAAAAAAGTATTCAAGTCGAAGCTGTCATCTTCTTCACTGACAACAGAGTGTCAGAAGGAACTGGGACAGTTTGGTGCTCAAACTCTGGCTGTAATTGATACTCCAGGCCTTTTTGATACCAGTAAAACTGAACAGGAGGTGAGAAGAGAGATTACTAGATGCATGTCATTAGCTTCTCCTGGTCCTCATGTATTCATGGTCGTGATCCAGCCAGGGAGATTCACCAAAGAAGAACAGGAAACTGTAAATATCATTCAGCGGATGTTTGGAGAACAAGCTTCACGTTTCACAATGGCTTTGTTCACTCATGGAGATGATCTGGAGGCAGAAGAGAGTCCCATAGAAGAAATAATAGAGGTAAATCCAGCTCTGAAGAAGTTTGTCATTCAGTGCAAGGGAGGATACCATGTCCTTAACAACAGGAATGGAAATCCAGAGCAATTGAAGGAGCTACTATCAAAAATCAACACAATGGTTCAGAAAAATAAGGGACAACATTTCACCAATGAAATGTTTGAAGAAGCAGAGAGAATAATAAAACAAGAAACTGAGAGGCTTATGTCAGAAAATCCAGGTATGGGAGATGAGGAAGCAAGAAGACGAGCAGAGAAAGACAACCCATTGACCCGGGCCGTTCGACACGGAGCTGCTATTGGGGCAGTAGCTGGCTTCCTGGGAGGGCCATTGGGAGCAGCAGTGGGGGCAGCACTGGGAGCTTTATTTGGGGCTATATCAGGCTCAGTGAAGGAAAACCAATGTATTATTCAATGATTCCCATGACATTGAATTTTATCAAGTAAAATGTTTGGCTCATGGATGAAATCAAAAGAAATATCCATTGTAAAATCGTGTAATGTTTTCAGTTACTTTTCCTTTTCTGCTGATGCATTAACAGAATCCACATTATTGTTCTTGGCAGAGGATTCTTCTTTAAAAAGCCTAGATTAATCAACCTCAATTCATGAATTGATTTGGAATTTTTAGAGCAGCAAAAGAAAATGTATTCAATTTGATTTTACTCATATCTTCTGCAATATTTATCTTCACTTGTACCTTTCTGAAAACACTCTTAAGAATAAACTTAATCATAAAGATAATTTGAATGTGTATTCCAAGATTTAATTTGATCAAATAAATAAATGAAGTAAGGATTATATTTAAAGTACAAGTTTCTACCTATAACCTCTTACTCTGTCTCTAGTAGCTATGATCACATATTTAGCAATACAGTGGTATTTCTTTGCTCTTTCAGTTATAGTTTTAGAGATTCTTTGTGTGATGTGAATCCTTATGTTTAATATCAGGGTTTCGAATCAGCCGGTGGCTAGAAAACAAATGTTCGGAACAACAGTTGTTTTTTTCTTCTACACTTAACATTGTTTATTGTGCTGTCCTTAATGAAATAAACTTAATCAAATTAAATGAGGAGCTTTGGTGTTTTTCTGAACAGTCGACATGTTGACAGTGATATTTTGAAAAGGCTCAGCAGCTTCTTAAGAAAAAAGAAGTTCAACAGAAATCATAAAATCATTCAGAAAAACAAATAATAAAACAGAAATAGCAGAGCGATTTTCTTTCTCTCTGTGGAAAACTGGACCAGCACTTCCATCTCTGCAGGGTGCTTGGACTCATGGGCCAAAGGACACTTTCCAAAGAGGCGTTTGTCAATTCTGTAGGATCGCACCAGAGCTCTGGAGTGCACATCCAGTTAGTCACAGTCTGAGAAAAATGACTAATTGTCAAATAATACAGAGATGTAATTCATTGACTTTGGTAGATATCTAGTCACCTACGAAACAGTAATCCATGAAGGCTGAACTGACAAAGACTCCTAGATAGGTTCCGAAAGTTTTTCAGAGAAAACCTAGCTAAAAGTCCAGTTGCCTTAAAAATGTGTGCCTGTTTTGTTGTTAGCCTGATCAAAGATCCCCACAACAGTCTACCACCTATGTTCCTGCAGCCATCTGTTCCTGATTGATTTGCTTGTTCCAAATGCTAGATTATCCTACCACCCTAATTCCAGTTAAACCATTGGCCTTATCAATCATTCTGGAGGCCCAGTATGAATAAAGACGTCAATGAATATGTTCAAGGTTGACACACCTGTTGTAATGTTTTGAGAGATGGACCCAGGGATCAGCCAGACACAAAAATAGACTTAAGCATATTTATTCAAGGAATATGTTCAAACACCCCAGGGGCATACCAGGAACGGGAACTTCTGGAATGCAGAGATGGGGTTACTGGCTGCGATACTTCTGAGTATTGGTATGACCAAAAGGAGAAAGCCCAGGCGGTTAATGGCTTACTCCTGGTGGCTGATGGCCCAAAGTGGATCCATGGCCGGATCCACTTTGGGGTGGCTGGCTGCCGGCGGAGTCCACGGACTGGTCCCTGTAGCACCCGGGGGCTCTGGCATTGTGGCGGCTGGGGGTTTTGCTCAGGGCCATCTCTCCTCCTCCCTTGGTGGGGGGTTGAATTTCCTGGGTTGGTCCTTCCTGGGTGCCTTTGCTCCTGGGATCCCATTCGGCATCTGGGGTTTTGGGTCCCCCTGGCGCTCGCCTCTTTGCTCTGGGGTGGGGCGCCTCTTCGGCTCTTCACAACCACTATTGGGCATTTTCCTTTAGATAAACTTTACATGCACAGATGCACTTTCACAAACAACTACAGGTGCTTGGTTTCAGGATTCACTTCCATACAGAAAGCCCATATTCTGATCTTCAGGTAGCAGAATTCATGTCAGATTAAATAATACTACTTATACTTCATTGATAGTATCTAGGTGTTACTTTATTGTATCTCTTATACTATATCCGTTGGTTGTGCTGTTCTTTTTACATCTCTTTGCAGGTGATGAAGCAGACTGAAGACGTTTTATCTTTATCTCCCTTTTATCTCCTCTTTCTTTCATCTTTTTCTCCTTTTTTTCTGTTTTTCCTTTCCTTTTCTACTTACATTGCAGTGTCCATATAATCTGTAAAACTCCCTGCATGAATTATAATAAAGCTATTTATATGCATAAATGAAGTGGAACACTATGGTAATAGCCGTACTGCTCCACTTTTGAAATCAAAATGTGTTGGGCTCATTTTGACATCAAGAAAATTATTCTTATTGCCACATCACCAGACAGGACACTGTTAAAAAAAACAAATCAAGGTCAAACACATAAATCTGCAAATATACAGAATAAATCCACCACAACTTCCTTGAAAAAATATAAGAATTTAATAATAAAAACTTTTTAGCCCTAAGTCAAAGATATTTCCACTAAAAACTCCATCGTACTTGATAGGAATCCACGTTAGACCCTGTATTGACTACAGAGGCTTAAACCAAATTACAGTCAAGAATTAATATCCTTTGTCCCTTCTGTCATCAGCTTTTAAGTCTGTTCAAGGAGCTACTGTCTTCACCAAACTGGATCTCAGAAATGCCTATCATCTGCTTTGTATAAGGGAGGGAGACCAATGGAAAACAGCCTTCAAAACTCCCATAGGTAATTTTGAATACCTGGTGATGCCTTTTGGTTTAACTAACGCACCTGCTTGTTTCCCGGCTTTGGTCAATGATGTCCTGAGAGATTTTTTGAACATCTTTGTTTTTGTTTACATTGATGATATCCTTATTTTTTCTAAGAACCTGTCAGAGCACAAGACCCGCCAAGTTCTACAGTGCCTCCTAGAGAACAAGCTATTTGTCAAGGCTGAGAAATGTGAGTTCCATAAGCCCTCAGTCTCTTTCCTGGGCTTCATCCTAGAGGGCGGACAGGTAAGACTCACTGAGGAGAAAATTAAAGCGGTCCTGGATTGGCCCACACCCGAGAACAGAAAACAGCTTCAAAGATTCCTGGGGTTTGCAAATTTCTATTGTCGATTTATTCGAAACTACAGCCAAACTGCTCTACCCCTCACTTCTCTCACTTCAACTAAGGTCCCTTTCGTTTGGTCCCCTGAGGCTGAGGCAGCCTTTGTTCTTCTCAAGAACCTTTTTGCTAATGCTCCTGTTCTCATTCAGCCGGATATCACCAAGCAGTTTGTGGTGGATTTGATGCCTCTGATTCAGGTGTTGGAGCCGTCCTCTCCCAGATTTCAGACACTAATAACAAGTTACACCCGTGTGCTTTCTTCTCTCGCAGACTTTCCCCAGCAGAGAGAAACTATGACGTTGAAGACCATGAGCTTTTAGCCATTAAACTAGCGCTTGAGGAGTGGAGACACTGGTTGGAAGGAGCTGCACATCCCGTTCTGGTATGGACAGACCTTAAGAATCTGTCATGCATTCAGTCTGCCAAGAGACTTAAACCACGGCAATCTTGCTGGTCCCTCTCCATTTCATTTCGCCCTGGCTCTCGGAATGTAAAACTGGATGCTCTCTCTAGGCAGTTTGCCCCAGACAAATTGGAGGAGTCTGCTGCTCCCATTCTACCTCCAGGGGCGGATCTAGAAAAATATTTATGGGGTGGCAAGAGGGGGGCAGGAATTTTTTAGGGGTGGCAACATATGGCATTTGTTTACACTGAATTTAATCACAGTTATCACAGTTTGGTGAGAATAGATTGTACAGTTCTATTGTTTCATGTGAAACAGTTCATATTACATCGTACATCGTACAATGTGATCTGACTTAATACGAGATAGAATAATAATAACACT